ATTGAGAGTAAAGAAAGCAAGAGGTGAAAATTGAAGCCCTACTAGCCCTTTATATAGATGCGTTGTAGACCAAATAGATGATACGTTCCATGCCACGTGTTGGAGCATAGACGAAAAGATGTCTTTTCATCTTTTTGCTTTAAATTTTTTCGTTTAAACCACCTTTTTTCTCATTTAATGTTATCAGACTGACCTAACTGGATGAACCACAAGTCAAACCATCTAAACCAAACAATCGTTAAGAGTAAACCGAAAGCCCGATTCACCTCTAAGGTCCAAAATAGAGGCTCAAAGTCTAAATTTTTGAAAGAAAATACAAGTCCCATTATGGCCAGACAAACTCCTGTATTAATCTCGAATTATCCTATACAATTATCACCTTAGCAATCTTTAAATTGATTATGCACTCAATCCAAAGCACATGCGCGAGATCGAATAACTGTCAGGTCAGATTGTGGTTCAAAGCTAGTCATCATCCAAAATCAACCTCCCCCTGCAACGTCGGCCTTAGATGAACCAAGCTGCCAATCTGTTCCTTCAATCAATCTATCATACACCGGAGATGTCAATAATAAATTTAGTCATCTAATACTTAGACCGCTTGATTGAGAGATAGAGTGTTAGGGACATTTGATGATAAAAAAGATATATGATATTTTCTCCTTTCAAAGCCTTCAGAAAACAAGGGATATATTTGTCATTTGTGTCAACCTGACATGATCAATATCACCTCAACTCAGTCCTGTCTTCAGTCCCCCTTAGCTTACTTATAACTATAAAGACTCAAACACCATGAAGGTAGGTTCATCTCATTGACTTCTCTCTCTCATTCTTACTTTTTTACTGATCTAATCTTTACTAACTTATGCGTTATAGTGCAAATACAAGAAACGTCCCTTACCTTTACCTCTAATTATTCTTCTTTTTTGCACTCACAAAAATACCCTCTGGTCAGAGCTCGACACTAACATAAGTTAAAAGAGAAAAACAATTAAACATATATTCAAATGGAAGCTTAAAATCGAGTAACTACATTTTTAACATTTTGAATTAGAGTAAATTTTCTAAAGAAACAAACAGAGAGTTAAGGGTTTTGAGATTAAAAAATAATGTTACCATTAATTCGATCTACCCTTTATTAGCTATTTTCACAAAAGTTAGGGATGATAATAATTGAAACGGATTAGTTCAATTTTTTTTCAATAAAACATAAAATTTTAAAATATAATTAGAATTTAATCAAAATTTTATACTTTTTAATTCGAATTAAATTTTATTAATTTGATATATGAATTTTTAAATTTAAATTTTTTATTTTTATATATTATTTTAATTTAATTTTTAATATATCTAAATAGATTTAAATTTAAAAATAATTCTTTTTATTTTATAAAAATTTTAAAAAATATAAAAATTAATAAAAATATATAATTAGAGATTTATTTTTTAATTTTTAATTTTTTATTCAAAATTCAATTTAAGTTTAATATATATTTAATATTTTAAATTAATTTAAATAAAAAAATTAATCTGAATAAAATAAACAAAGATTTTAAATGAATTTTCAATTTTCAAAATATTTTTCTCACTCCTAACTAAAGTCTCCTTGAAAAGAAAGATCTGAAGAGCCAATTTCTCGTTAAGCAACGCTCTTTTTAAGAGATCCACGTCGGTCGTTGATATCAACGTCTCGTAATCATCGATCTGCTCCGTTCACCACTCTCCTCGTCTCCCGCACCCGACGCCATCCGATCTCTTTCTCTTTCTCTCTTTACGTTTCTGAATCAATTTAAAAATGATACTTAAAAGAAGGAATTTTGGGAGAAAAAATGAAAAATCGAATTGGCGGCTAAAGCAAACACCAAAAAAAAAAATCCGGTGTTTCCAAGACGAGCCAAATCACAAGTTTGTGCGTGAATCTAACACCATTGAATGACCTGATTAAAAAGGGCGGCTCTGAAGGCATTTGATTCACGCATAAACTGGAGATGTGTCCCATATGCTAATAACCAAAGGAGAAAAGAAGGGAAAAGATTTCGAAATATGGAAATGTTGATGGGAATTATTTGAAACGTTTGCCTTTGCCTTTTATAGACGGGAAATGGTCAGATGCAGCAGGAATCGTTCCTGATTGGACCACGTACGAAATTAAATGCGGTCCACGTTGATAAAGCTGCCCTCCTTTATGGATGAATGATATGTGTCCGATTGATATATTGGGTTAATGACATGTGTCCAATTAATTTTTATGGGCAATATTAAAGCACGTGTCTGTTTGATATTTCTTTATTTTTTAATAAGTGACGTGTTCTAGAAAAAAAAAACAACAGTAAGTTTTTTTTACATAACTTAATTTAAAATATGATATAAATATAGTATATAAATATAATATGAAATAAAAAAATAAATGTGATATAATTTAAGATTTTAATAATTATTATATATGTATTTAAAAATAAAAAATAAATTATATATTTTTACATTAACATAAATTATAATATATAATATTAATTATAAATATAATATAAATACATAAATTTTAATATTTCATATGATATAAATTACTAAATTACTAAATTTTTTTTTCAATCAAAACAAAATACAATGATTAATGAAAATCATGGTTTTTTTTTCTCTCCTATATTTACCTAAAAATTGACTAGCAATAAATATGCATATATGTGAGATTTTTTTATGGAGATGAATATTAAGATTCCAGTGAGTTGATGTTTTTATTATTTATTATTTTTTATTTTTTATGCTTTTTTTTTTACTTTTTATATTGCTTTTTCCAAAAATATATATAAACTATACCACACTTTTTTTTTTGAAATAAAACTATACTAAACTTAAATTAATTAAATTTAGAACAATGAGTATTTGAAAAAAGAAAATAATATTATATTTTAAATAAAGTGTTTAATTGCAGTATACGTTTGCTTTTGATTTATGTTTTTCTTGGGCTTTAAGTTGAACCATTAGGACGAAACCTTTCGGCGGAAGAAATGGACTATGAATTTGCCCAACATTTTCTTATGACTTTTGGGCCATAACTTTTAAGCCATTGACAAACGACAACACAATCGTAGAATCTTGAAGATTGTACAAGAAAAAAACTATAAATGTTAATATTTAAATCTTAAATATGTTGAATATTATATTTAAATCGCAAATATGTTGAATATTATATATTTAGAAGTGGTTGCATAAATTAACTTACTTAGATCTTGTATTGAAGCAAAAATATTAATCACCTCTTTATCTTTTAGTTTAGTTAGTAATTATTAGGAATGTCTACTAATTAATGTATAACTTAGAGTATGTGTTTATTGAAATATTATTCGTAAAAATAATTAGATTTTATAATAACATTAATCTTATTGTAGAATTAATATCTTGATTTCTTTAAAAAAAAAAAAAAACTAGATATGAATGATACTTTCAAAGTAAAATTTGTGAATCTTTAAATGATGTTCAAACACATTAATTTTATTTGTTTTTAAAATTAATATTTTAAATTGATTATTATTTATGAATTGAAAAGTAATTAAGATCATTCATTCATGATTCTACTGATCATTCCACTAAAATAAAATAAAAAATGTAATATTAAACAAAACTAATTTCAAACTTCGCATTGTATATGATAAGTGTGCATATGCATATATATTTATCCATTTCTTCCATTTACTATAATTTATATAGTATCTATATAGTATATGCAATATTTATAATGATTGTAAAAAAATGAATAATTTATAAGTAACTCATAAACAAATAAGAGTTACAAGTATATAAACAAATTGAATAGAGATATATACACATGCAAACGTGCAAACATGCACAACTAGTATGTAATTAAGCACATATGTACATACATACGTATACACATAAAACTCACATTTCACGAAACTATAAATCTAAGTCAAAATAAATTGCAATAGACTAGGCACAGCACTTTGGGGTTGAATTTAGGATGCTTTCTATAATTACTTACTAGATTCACACTAACTATAATTATGTGTTGCTGCCCCCAAATGAGAGTTAATCCACTTCCTAATGGGATATATATTAAGCTATGTTTATCATTGGTTTATATTGGTAGGCATAGCTAGGTTTGAGGAAAATGGGCATATAAGAATATTTGAGAGATTGGGAAAGAGAGGGTAAGTGGTTGAATGGGGAGAAAGCTTTGTGGCAAACAATTAGCGAGAAAGAAGCAAAAGTTTAGTTCAATTGAATTATGTAATCAGCTTAACAGGTAGCATCCAACTTCTATAATAAAAAACAATCGACGAGAAAGTCAATATAGTAAAAAAGCCACAGATAATCAAACATATATGCTTACTAAAATTTTCAAAGTCTTTTATGCTATTTTATTTATTCCCAAGTGAGTTTTTGATTTGGAATATTAGTTTCAGAAATTTATGAAAAGCAAAGGATAAAAAACTTCTGGTTTTGAAACCAAATAGAAAAATTTTCACTCACCAAACCAAAATAAGCGGTTTGATTTGCCGACTTAATCAAACAACAAATAATGCTCAGCCCTTGAATTCATTATTTGGATTTGATTTCTTTTAATTACAAATTGTAAGAAAGTGCAGTTATTATATAAAATGTCTGTATAAATTTGAAGAGTGCATGAGGGATCCATGAATTTCAAACTCACTACTAGTACAAATTCGACAATAAAAGTCATATTACAAAGAAATTGATAATAATCTATAGCCAAGCGCATTTATAAGGCAAACTGTAGTTAGGGTTTTTGTCTGCTCTGTCTGTGTCCAAGAAAAAGGTTTGCCGACTAATCCAAATATGGGAAACTCCATTTTAGCTAGCAAAATCACTAATATAGCAAAGTATAAACAAGCAGGATACGGCCAGGCCTAGCTAGCTCGGTCTTTTATTCCATGGAAACTAAATATGTAGATGCCACGGACACATACATACATACATACATACATACATACATATATATATATATGTATGTATAACTTCAACACACTTCTTTCACACAGTGATTTTCTTATGGAAAACATTAACATGTTCATATATGTAATATATGCTTTAAGGGTTTATTCTAACATGTCGATTTCCACTTTTATTCTCAGGCACACCATATTTACGTACTAGAGCTCTCTCCATATCGATATCGGTTTCTGACCTTTCAAACCAAGCTGTATAGCATAGCATGGCTAGCTCGGCTTCAAGGCTTGCCAGTTTTGGAATCCTTTAGAGGAACAAGACGCGGAGCGTAAGGGTTCGTTTTGTTTGTATAGTAATGGTGGGTGGTTTGACTACTGGACAAATCATTTTCTTCCTGGGAATCGAGTAGGCCTACAGCAGAATTATCTTCTGCGGTTCTTCCTGTTGCTACACCCCTGTTTGCAGTTGGATTTTTATCATCTTTAGCTCCAACATCGGCCTTTCGACCCAGCTGGTGATCCTTCTCCATGGCCAGCCGTTTTCCATCAGCTTCCAGGGTTGCCAAAAGCAAGGCCATAGCAAAAAACGTCATTGCGAAGTTCTTCATCGTCGAAACTCTAACCCTGGAATGAAAAATTATAATTTCAGATCAGTACATATATAGATGAACTATGTTTTTATTCTACAAGAATTAAAATTAGATTTTGAGATTATATAGAAATATTATATATAAATTTTCTTATAACAAAATTAAAGAGAGAAAGTATAAAAACAAAACTAGGCTTATGGAAAGTTGTACCAAATTCAACTGGGAGGAAATATTGTGTGATGAAGCGAGAAACAAGGGCTAGGGTTTTTATAGCCCTAGCTGGCTCGCTGTTTAAGGTTTAATGTGAATCATCAAGATAGGATCGCTGGTGGGAGAGGTGGGGCTATCACCTTGTTGCAAAACCATTGGCTATGGATATGGCCAATAATCGCAAAAATATAAACTATAAGAGTTTATATTTGACATATTATCAATATATAAATTTTATATATTTTTAGTTAATCAAATTATGACAATTCATTAATGAGTAAATATTAATATCTAAAATTAAATATACACAAATTAAGATAATTTATTTATTAATAAAATGTTATTATCTAATTCATTTCATTAATAAGTTATCATCATCTAATTTATTGATAATTTATTTCGTTATTTCGTTATTATCATTTAATTTACTGATAGTATATAGAATCTATGCATTGATATTGTATCAAATATAAATTCAATTAATATTAATAAAATATAATTGCAAAATAAACACATTTACATAATATTATATTTATAGGTATGTATATAGGATAATAATCCTAGCTAACACATTTGGTATGAATGATAGATACTCAATTTGTTAAGTAATTAATGAATTTAATTTCCACTATAGGATTCAAAATTGGGTGATTCTTATGTACAAAAAATTTGAGTTTAATTTTCCTTGTGATCTTGATGGGATCAAGTTGGCCAGATTTAATTGATTGATGATGCCAAATATGAGCAAGATCTTAGAAGTATTTGTTGAAATTTTTTAGTAGGTAATTAGTTCATCTTATGGAAGAGTTTTTTTCTTTTATATTATTATTGCAAAAGCAGAATTAAATGTTTGATTTTCAAAATTTTAAAAGTTTTTATTTATTCACGAAGCTCATTAGAATTTTTAGACAAAGTTATAAGTCACAAACTACAAAAAAGCTAATGCTTAATGATAAATATTTTATGAAATTTTTTTACATTCTTACCTCATTCAATTCAATTAAATAGAATTATAAAGAGAATTACATTATTTCACATTCATTTTTTATTTGATCTAATTTTTCTATGAATTTTTATTTATTTTTATTTTTAATTAATAAAAATATCTTTTTATTTTTTTTATTTCTTTCACTTAAAATCTTGTGATTTATTTTAATAAAGTTGACTATTTTATTTTTTTCAATTATAAACATATAAAAAACTTATCAAATAATTTCCATCATTCTACAACACTTTAAGTTTATCAAACACTATTTTAATTTCTTTTTTATAGCTCTTTCAAAATAGATCTACTTGAACAATACTTCTAGTAGAGGTTTCAACGGCCAACCAAACCATTAATTATAGAAATGACAAATTTTGATTGGAATTCTTTTGATGAATTTCTTAACTACTATAATCCATGGAATGAAATCTAAAATGAAAATGAAAATTGATAAGTTGATATATAGAACATAATAAAAATAGAATTGACATACATAAAAATAAAAAAATAATATTTTATTTGATCCAAGCTTGAACTAAAATTAATGTATTTTTTTTCAATTTCTAAGATTGTAAATAAGAATATACATTAGTATACATTAACGTACCGTTTTTCTTTATTGCTTTTCAAAATTGTTCCTATTATTTTAATTGGTTATTAGATTTTACAAAGTAAGCCCTAATTAGAAAGTAGCATGATTACCCTAGTCAAATATAGATCTTTTTTTTGGACTAATTTGATTAGTTGGTTGTTTTTTTATCAATTAAATTAGTCATGATCGTTAATGATTAATTCTAGGTCATTCCACTAAAATAGCATAAAAATGTAATTATTAACAATCTTGATTCTAAACTTGGCATATGATAAATGGCTCCAAGTAGATCAACAATTACACACACAAAAAAAGTAAATATGGAAGCACAATTATAAATCTATATCACAGAAAGTACTAGAGCGGCATCATCCTCAAACATATATATATATATATATATGTCGTACTATTTAGAAGTATGATAGGTTGAATTAGATTTATCGGGTCTTCCTTTTTTAGATCAAATTCGAATTTAAATATGTTAAAATAATATTAAAATTAAATAAAAATATATTAATATATTATTTATCAATAAATTAATATACTTAAGTTTGGTTTGAGTCAAGCTCACGGGCTAGATTGAGTAGTGTGACCCGTGAACAACTGTAATGCTGCCTTTAAACCAAGTTCATCCACTTGATTATGAAGGAACTTTAATGGAAGGAAATTGTGCTCTTTTCTTTTATTTATTCTTTTATTTTTGTAGGTAAAGCTGGGTTGGAAATTAATGAGTGAAGGAGAAAGAGTGAGGTAAAGTGGCTAATGGGGAGTGTTGTGTGCCTATCTACTCAGTTAATAAGGTCAATTTTCATGGTTGTCAAGTTAACATACATCCAACTTTCACGTTATCATAAGTAAAGATTGATAATCAGACTCTTCGTCGCAAGGTGAGCTCACCCTCGTCAAGGTGTATTATCTCTATTAACGTCCCATAATTAAGGCATCACTTCATAATAGATTAATTAATTTGTCTAAAATTATTAAATGCAGCTTATAATTACTCATATGATTTTTTCTCGAATTGTAAATAAACTTATCATTAACTATCAACTACCTTGATCATGTCATTGTTGTTTTTCTTATATATAAGGTAAAAATGAGGTTTAGGTACAGTATGAACTAAAGATCATTCCTTTTTAAGTTTCTTAAGTTCTTTATAATTTACCTTTTTACTCACATAAACCCAAGACACTTGATTGAGTTAAGCATTAAAGCATGTCTTGAAAAACCAACTCCGGCGTCTTCTAACCATACTTTCTTGTTGCAGGGCCGAGCTGTCCTTTGTATGATCACCAAGCCATCTTCCTTTCCAACAATAGTCAAAACATCATCAACTAGGAGACAAACAAAGCTTTATGTAACATTGATTTGCAAGAGAAGTAATTTAAGAGCCCAAATATTCAAATGCATGCCCACGTTTTCAAAGTTTTCCAATATGTTTCGTCTAAAAACAAGTTTTTCAATATGCAATCACTATATGCATATAAAGAGAACCTGAAATTGTGAATTTATTGGATTTAGTTATGGTTAAAGAGTATGAAAAGTCCCTGAATTATAATTAAAAAAAATTATTCAAGTCTTTTTTTTTTATTTCAATCAATCAATTGTTTTAACATTTATTTTGAATTCAATTAAGCTCTTATTTGGATAAAAAATTAATACTATTAATTTTTTTGCTAACTAAGATAAAATTTCATGTGACATCAATAAAATTAATAAAAATTTATCACATGACATAATTAATATATGTGAAAATTAAATAAAATAAAATTTCCTTCTTTTTTTCTTTTTCATTTTTCTTCTCTATTTTCTCTATCAGTCTCTCAAATCCCTATAAAAATAAGAAATCAATTGACTATAATTCAAGGATTTATTGATTAAATTTTATCATGTGACTAGATATTGTCTATTTAAAGATTTAATTGAATCGAAATAAAATATTAAAGGTTTGATTGATTGTAATAACATATTAATTATTTAAATGATTATTGAATTATAATTTGAATATATTTTTGACCCATTAGCCTTTAATTAATTTATTTTACAAATGGTGAAGATATATATATATATATATATAGAGAGAGAGAGAGAGAGGGAGAGAGGAAATTATTTTATAATAATTTAAATGTAATAGAAATCTCTTGAATTCCTAAATTTAAATGCATTTAGCATATAATTCATAAAACTTGTATCTTATAATCATGAGCATTTCTAGACAATGTTGTGCTTGCTAAATCTAAAGTTCACAGTCTTACACTCAAATTTAAGATCCTAACTAAATATATAAAAGTTGATTCGAAATATTAAAATAAAGAAGTAAAGTCAAATCCTCAACTTAACCATTAGAAGGATATATAACTGATTTTTAAATTTTCTGACATAACAAAAAGAAAAACATAAACTTGGTCGTAGAACAAGTAATTTCACGTTTGATCACCCAAATCCTCTCACTTTTTTAAAATAAATTTTGCAATTTATATGCTTCTAAATTTCCACACTATGTAATTAATTTCAAAGAAATTGATATTAATTGCTTATTAATACATTTCTAAATCAAACTATACTTATGGCTGAGGCTTAATTTGTCTGTTTTTTCTCATGTAAAAGGGGGTTATCTTTTTTTATACAAAGGAAATTATAGCCCAAAAATAATAAAAAAACTTGTAGTTCTTTTTTTTAAAATTAAAAATTTTATTAGAACTGAAAGAATTACATCGTTAAAGTCACACTATTAAGTCTAAGATGCAATTAACGCCCATCTTAACTAAAGAATCCGCAAAATGATTTACCTCTCTGGGCAGATGAATGAACAATACATTAACTACAAAAAAAATTATAATTATTAAAATTTGAATTTTAAATTTACTGGCTGAATTATAAAGTTTTGGATTAAAAAGAAACACTCCATTTTAATCAGAAAAATTAACTAATCTGTACTATAAAGTATAAACAAGCTGGAACCATGCATGGTTTTCTTGACTTTTTATTGCAATATTGCAAGCCAGATGATAATACCAGCCAGTACTAGTAAAAACACACACGCCTTGATAATTATCTGCAAAGCCCGATTTTCATCAGACATGAATCTCCATTACAGTTGATTTCTTTTAGAAAACTTAATTAACATGTGCCATAATTGGCTTATATTAACATGTTAATTATTCCATTTTTTTTCTCAAGGCACACAGCACCATGTATATTTACAGAAGCTCCATTCAGTTTCTGAGTTTCAAACTTGCGATTATGGTTCTTTTTTGGGCTTCGGATTCGAAGCGTAGGCGTTGCTGCCATTTGTGTAGATACGGCGGACTAGGTCTTTCGGATCAGTATTACCTCCGTAGCGTCCGAACATCGGGTTATTGTCATCATCTTCCTGGCTTACTGTTGTATCTTTAGCAGCTCCAGCGTCTGCTTTTCGACCCAGATTACTAGTAGTTGCCTTCTGA